GGTCCACCCAAAATTGGCTAAGAGGCTGTATCTCGGCCAAAGTTTGATCAATCGAAACAGAAATCGATACACTTTATCAAAAGCATGTTCTGAGGTGTCATACCAAAGTTGGGAATAGCGCCACCTAGGGGTCATGAGATATGCAAAATTGCTATTTTGGCCAATAACTTTTGAACAGTTTTTCAGAAAATCATAAATGTGGTATCTATGGATTCCTTGGATCATGCCGAATCCGTGGATATCAATTTTGCCATGATGGGATGTACCTTGTGTCCGCCATTTTGAATTTTGTAATAATTTGCAATATCTTTAAAACTTTTTAAAATTTCTTCACCAAATTTGGTATGGATCATCATTAGCATGGCCCAAAAGTACATGAGAAGTTTTATGACAGCGCCACCTAGTGTTTCAAAGTTATAAGGTTTTTTGTAAAAACGCTTAACTTTTGCAAATATAGTTCAAAATTTAATTTCTTTATATCAATATGTTCCTTGGCTTATGCCGATTCTAACAATGTCTCATTTTTCATTTTCCAACAATGTGACTGTCCGCCATATTGGAGCAAATGAAAAACCATTTTTTCGCTACTCCTCCTTCAGATCTTGCTCAAATTTTTCCAAAATTTGGTCAGATGATCTTTGGACCGAGCCGCACAGAAATGACTGAACAGATTTTTGATATTCATTACCGTTTTTGAGATATTCGTCTCCAAAATTGACCTAGCCTGTGTTTGTTGCCTTATGCTAGTTAGCTTAGCATAATAATTGTTTAGCATGCTAACCAGGTGCCATTCTTTTTAATGGGGCTCTTCAGCTAACAGGATGACCATAAGCTGTATTAGCATTGAGCTAGCTTAGCATGCTAATCACGTTAACATGCTTTTGTGCATTTATTCTTATAGTGAAGCCTCTCCTCTGCAGATTTGTAATTTCCATCCTATGAGTGGCGCAAGCTGCTAAACCACGTGTCACGAATCCCGAACCATTGCGGTCGTGGGTTCGAATCCTGTGTGGCACATGCCCAGACCGCAAGAGGTACTGTGGCCTTAAGTGGTGGAAAAGTCGTTTCAGTTCTACACATGGTGTCTGTCTGAGAAAGAACATGTGCTTGCTGTACTTGTTCTGCTTGTGGTCCCTTCCAGGGCTTGGCCCCGCAAAGGCTGCTTGCAGCTTTAATTATACTAGTGTCTGATATTATATTATTAGCAATACCATCTGGCGGCAGGCGGCCTGATGTGCGGCCGCTTCCGCCGGTCAAACTGTCACTGTGCAACCTCTCTGTCTCCGCTCAACACTGTGTGCACTGCGAAGCTCAACCCGTTCGGCAGGTCCAACCATGTTGGACCTGGATTTTCAAAAACATAGGGGGGTCAGAGCGCGGCGGCCCCTCCCTAAATGGTATAGCCTGTCGGCCAGCCTGTGATGTAAAAAGTCACCGAACACCTCTTTTCCCGCTTCATGTTTTGAAAGTTTAACGGACGGTCGGTGTGAGTGAGTAACTTAGTACTACTGTACTGAGTAATGATGGAAGAAAGGCAAAAAAGAAAACTGAAAGGTGGCGCTGAGAAGGTCAGACTCAAAAGAAAAAAAATGATGGAGGAGGAGGCATGGAAATGCTCCAAAATTACAGACATGTTCCGGCAACAACGAGCAAATACACTACAGGTGAAATAAACTGAGTCTGAAGCACTTGTTGTGGGCGGAGTTCGGGCTGGCAACCAGGCTAGTGCTGCGCCAGACTAATCTCAAATATTGTAAAGATTCCTTGTAAGGTTTCATTTTTTTAAATGAACAACACTACACCTGAGAGAAAGTTTAACATTTGGAATACAGCCTCTTTTTGACTGCATTTATTCATGAAACATGACACTCCATTTGTAGTCAGATTGTGCTTGAAGGAGATCATTCACTGTAGGCAGGGCAGCATATTGGGCCATGTTGGTCAATCCTGATGCTACACAACAGCTCATGTAATGAGTTATAATAAGTACAATTTAAGTTGAATGTATTGTTGTTGTTTCCCAAAAATCCTTATTTTATTACTGATATATTTGTTACTGTTTTTTTTTTTTCTAAATATGCCGATTTTTATATTCACTCTTTAAGGGACCTTTATTTTGACATTTTTTCTTGCCGCCGCGTTGGTGCCATTTTAGAGTGTGTGCGCGCCTCTTGCCAGTTTGTATTGAACGCGCTGGGGAGAGGTAAGCGTTTTGCAGAGCTCTTGAAATTATGAGCAAAATAAGTTTGCAAAGTGTATAAATTGGTTTAATACCCGTTTGTAATCAATGCAGGAATTGCATGGCGTGTTTTGTTGTATGTTACATGCATGAGTGGATTAATAATCTGAAGATTAATCGCGTGGGCCTTATATTGCATGAGTTTTGCGTGTATTAGCACGGTTTTGAGTCAACTGATTGGTGTTGTATCATGCAGGTGAAAGCAATGAGATGCCCTCATGGGATTTTTGTCATCTTTGTGATGTTGAACTTCAGGTATTCCACTTTTATTGCATTTACATTCTTGTATTGTGTTAATATGTTATGCTTTACTATTATTTGTATGTTCATTAACTTTAATTGTAACAAAATGAGTTTGCATTGAACTCGCTGGGGAGAGGTGAAAGCTATGAGATGCCCTCATGTGATTTTTGTCATCTTTGTGATGTTGAACTTCAGATGCTGCGAAATCCATGCTGAACGTGACTGAATAAACCCCCATGTTGGTGAACTACAATACGTGTCCTGGTCCTATAATACACAACGCAGAGAGACTGAGAAGCGCAACAGCAGTCAGCGAGCGGACCAGTTACACTCAGACCACTGCGTAAATTGGCCATTTCATCTGCAACAAACCTGTATAGAAAACAGATGCAAGGAATGCAATGGAATATAGCCTGCATTAGACTTAGATATCTGCAGTGTGAAATGATCTGTGAGATTTAGTATTTGAGGAAGTTACCATTCATCTGTCATCTTATCATAGCACTCCACATCACAGGTGGTGCTTATTCCAGAGGGCTTATTAACCCTCCGACAGCAAACAACCGACCATTAACTACCTGGATTTTGAGGAAGTTAAAAAGGAAAATACATAATGTACAGCTTAAGTCTTTAAATTTACATTAATAAATCTCATTATAGATGCAACGCTTCATTTACAAGCGATACTTCAAGGGATACTCATAGTAGGAAAAAAATAGTAGTAGTAGTTCCATAGTAGGAAAAAAATACTGTGGAAGTCAATGAGACCAGAAACTGTCTGGTTACTGATATTCTTTTAAATATCATAAAATCGGCTGAATCAATTTGAAAACGGTTAAACTCAACTGTTTAACTCTGGGGGAGTTGTAAAATGAGCCTATTTCCAAAAAAAAGTGGAGTATCCCTTTAAATATCATTAGAATGTTTTGACACACATTGATATTTGAAGACTTTGATCGTTGACTTTTAAGACAATTTTAGGGTGCAATTATTGTCAATATGGGACCAAATACATTTTCCCCCATATTCATTATCATCAAATCATTTTTGTAAAGTAAGTTATTTCATAGTTTCACCAGAGACAGATATTAACTGACCACATCTCACCTCAATGCCAAAGTTGCTGCTTGGATTGTACATTGATGCCACGGCATGCCAATTGTTTGTCAGCGGATTGTAGACCTCTGTACTCCGCAAATAACTGGTTCCATCAAAACCACCAACCTTTAAATAAATACACTTTTTATTTATCTATTCTGTGCGTTTGTATATGCACATTGCACAACCATGCATGTATTTACTTAAGTGCAACCTTTAAACTGTGATTGATCCATATTTCTGTATTTGTGTTATGGTTATTATAGTTAATTAAAACTAAACCCTGATGTGTGTGTGTGTGTGAGTTTAATACTCACAGCATACACTAGGTCTGCATAAGCAATCACACCAACAACACTGCGGCGGCTGCTCATGGGAGCGATGAGAGTCCACTGGAACCAGTTGACTCTCATCGCTCCCATGAGCAGCCGCCACATAGGCCGGTCATTTTTGACCAGGAACACCACAAGTGTGACTATGTGCCATATTTTTTACAAAACAAAAGTTTCAAAACAAAATTCCTGGTGAAAATGTTAAGTTGACTAGTGTGATCAACAATACCAATTTTCTTTAGATTTTATTTAATATTTCCAAAATTATTCAAAAAAACAAAAACAAACAAACAATAAAATACCTACTCTCAAATAAATGAGGCCTATTATTCAGAGGCAAATCAAAATATAAAACCAGTCCTAATAGTGAAAATATGGTATAATGAGTGATTTATACGTTTTTTTATTTTTTATGAGAGGCAGTATAGTTATTGGAGGCAGTGTGGTTCTAGCCGCTTTCCGACCAAGTAGTTACAGGAACTTAGTTATAGGAACTGTCCACTTCTAAACAGTTCTAAGAACTACTCTCCCCCAAACTCAGTTTTGCTGCTTGCGTTCGCACTGGCCAAGTGGCCATAGGAACTGGTAGGAGGGGTAACGCAAGCACGGCGTCTTTATCACTAGATGTAGCACGGCCAATACAACAACAACAAACCAGCATGGAGGAGGCTATTATTGCAATGTTCCTGTTCGGCCTTCTTGGAGGCAGTGTGGTTCTGAGAGGCAGTATAGTTCTTGGAGGCAGAGTGGTTCTGAGAGGCAGTATATTTCTTGGAGGCAGTGTGGTTCTGAGAGGCAGTATATTTCTTGGAGGCAGTGTGGTTCTGAGAGGCAGTATAGTTCTTGGAGGCAGTGTGGTTCTGAGAGGCAGTATAGTTCTTGGATGCAGTGTGGTTCTGAGAGGCAGTATAGTTCTTGGAGGCAGTGTGGTTCTGAGAGGCAGTATAGTTCTTGGAGGCAGTGTGGTTCTGAGAGGCAGTATAGTTCTTGGAGGCAGTGTGGTGGTTCTGAGAGGCAGTATAGTTTCTGGAGGCAGTGTGGTGGTTCTGAGAGGCAGTATAGTTCTTGGATGCAGTGTGGTTCTGAGAGGCAGTGTGCAGTAGCGTAGTGGCAATCGGGAGAGTCGGGACTTTTCCCGGTGGGCCGGTATTGTTTTGAGGCCGTGAGGGCCGGTCGGTCTGATAATAGTTATACTAGTGTCTGATATTATATTATTAGCAATACCATCTGGCGGCAGGCGGCCTGATGTGCGGCCGCTTCCGCCGGTCAAACTGTCACTGTGCAACCTCTCTGTCTCCGCTCAACACTGTGTGCACTGCGAAGCTCAACCCGTTCGGCAGGTCCAACCATGTTGGACCTGGATTTTCAAAAACATAGGGGGGTCAGAGCGCGGCGGCCCCTCCCTAAATGGTATAGCCTGTCGGCCAGCCTGTGATGTAAAAAGTCACCGAACACCTCTTTTCCCGCTTCATGTTTTGAAAGTTTAACGGACGGTCGGTGTGAGTGAGTAACTTAGTACTACTGTACTGAGTAATGATGGAAGAAAGGCAAAAAAGAAAACTGAAAGGTGGCGCTGAGAAGGTCAGACTCAAAAGAAAAAAAATGATGGAGGAGGAGGCATGGAAATGCTCCAAAATTACAGACATGTTCCGGGCAACAACGAGCAAATACACTACAGGTGAAATAAACTGAGTCTGAAGCACTTGTTGTGGGCGGAGTTCGGGCTGGCAACCAGGCTAGTGCTGCGCCAGACTAATCTCAAATATTGTAAAGATTCCTTGTAAGGTTTCATTTTTTTAAATGAACAACACTACACCTGAGAGAAAGTTTAACATTTGGAATACAGCCTCTTTTTGACTGCATTTATTCATGAAACATGACACTCCATTTGTAGTCAGATTGTGCTTGAAGGAGATCATTCACTGTAGGCAGGGCAGCATATTGGGCCATGTTGGTCAATCCTGATGCTACACAACAGCTCATGTAATGAGTTATAATAAGTACAATTTAAGTTGAATGTATTGTTGTTGTTTCCCAAAAATCCTTATTTTATTACTGATATATTTGTTACTGTTTTTTTTTTTTTTTTGCTAAATATGCCGATTTTTATATTCACTCTTTAAGGGACCTTTATTTTGACATTTTTTCTTGCCGCCGCGTTGGTGCCATTTTAGAGTGTGTGCGCGCCTCTTCCCAGTTTGCATTGAACTCGCTGGGGAGAGGTAAGCGTTTTGCAGAGCTCTTGAAATTATGAGCAAAATAAGTTTGCAAAGTGTATACATTGGTTTAATACCCGTTTGTAATCAATGCAGGAATTGCATGGCGTGTTTTGTTGTATGTTACATGCATGAGTGGATTAATAATCTGAAGATTAATCGCGTGGGCCTTATATTGCATGAGTTTTGCGTGTATTAGCACGGTTTTGAGTCAACTGATTGGTGTTGTATCATGCAGGTGAAAGCTATGAGATGCCCTCATGTGATTTTTGTCATCTTTGTGATGTTAAACTTCAGGTATTCCACTTTTATTGCATTTTACATTCTTGTATTGTGTTAATATGTTATGCTTTAATATTATTTGTATGTTCATTAACTTTAATTGTAACAAAATGAGTTTGCATTGAACTCGCTGGGGAGAGGTGAAAGCTATGAGATGCCCTCATGTGATTTTTGTCATCTTTGTGATGTTGAACTTCAGATGCTGCGAAATCCATGCTGAACGTGACTGAATAAACCCCCATGTTGGTGAACTACAATACGTGTCCTGGTCCTATAATACACAACGCAGAGAGACTGAGAAGCGCAACAGCGGTCAGCGAGCGGACCAGTTACACTCAGACCACTGCGTAAATTGGCCATTTCATCTGCAACAAACCTGTATAGAAAACAGATGCAAGGAATGCAATGGAATATAGCCTGCATTAGACTTAGATATCTAATGCAGTGTGAAATGATCTGTGAGATTTAGTATTTGAGGAAGTTACCATTCATCTGTCGTCTTATCATAGCACTCCACATCACAGGTGGTGCTTATTCCATTAAACCCTCCGACAGCAAACAACCGACCATTAACTACCTGGATTTTGAGGACGTTAAAAAGGAAAATACCATAGACTGTAAAAAAATATGGACGTAGTATCCGTGACGTCACCCGTAGGTTTCTGAAGACCGTTTTTGATGCCTAAAGTGGGCGTAGCCGACCGTCGCCATCTTGGCATTGCGTCACTCCCGGAAAATCGGAAATGGTCAACTAGGCGGGACGTGGGTGGAGCCGCGGAACCTGTTGCTGAAAACATGCCCACCTAGCTCGACGCTATCAAGTTGTCTTTGAATCCTTTGAATGGAAGATATTGGCGGTTGGATTTTGAACCGAATCAAACCAAGCTTACAATTTGAGGTAAATGAACCTGAACCTACACAACAAAACTTGAAATAACTATTTATATGTTATTGATATTAATATAAACAAAGTTTAAAACGCTGCAGCACTTATAATACATGTGGTAACGTTTATTTGCAACACTTTGAAATTTGAAGCAAATCACTGAACCTGCATTTATGAGTGTGTAGCCTATTTGGATGTCAACTGAATATAACGTTATTAAGATGGGGTTAGAATCGGATTAGCTAACATTAAAAATGTTATTACCCATTAGTTAGCGTATTTTTTACAAGCTGTTTTTTTTTTTTTTTTTAAGTGATCGATTTTGAGGTGATGGCCACCCGCGACAAATGCACCACGTGTGCACATAGCTTAAACTGTAAGTACTGCTATTTTACAGCTTATATTGTCTGTCTTAAAAGGACAACAACAAATCAGATTGTCATCTAAATTTGAGGTGTTGCTCCCTTCTGTTCTCCCACATGTGACAGTATTGTCAACATAAAATATTGAGCAACATTTCATTGTTAAATTCTTATTTTTCATTACCTCATGCATTTATTAAACTCATTTATTTTCCTTCCATAGACACAGTGTGGATCATTGGTGACAGCTATGTCAGACGTGGTGCCCAGAGAGCTGCAGAGACCATGGGAAGCAACCTCAGTCTGCCAGGCGTCCGTGTCTGTTGGTTTGGTTGTGGTGGGCTGCGGTGGAAATGACTTCTTCTGTTCTTCTCCCACTCCCTGTGAGGAAGAGCAGCACCGGATGTCCTCCTCATCCACTGTGGCGGCAATGACCTGGGGGTGGTCAGCAGCGTCCAGCTGGTGAACACCATGAAGGAGGACCTGCACCAGCTTAAACTCCGGCACCCTGGCATGAAGATCATGTTTTCAGCTGTGACCCAGAGGTGCCGGTGGAAGGCCGGTGCCAATCCAGTTAAAATTGACAAGGCGAGAAAGTTTGTTAACAGTGTTATGGCTACATTTGTTCGTAGTTTAAATAGTGCCATGATTGAGCACCCTTGCATTAGACATGACAGTCCTGGGCTATTTTTGAAAGATGGAGTTCATTTCACACCTAGGGGAAATGATATGTTTTTAAGTACATTAGCTAACTGCCTTAAAGGCCACATTCAAATGCAGTAAACTCCGTACAGTTGGCAGTGTTACTGCTTTTGAATTTTGCCTTTATGGACATTTTTGTAAGGCTCAAATATAGCCCTGACCATCATGTCTAATTTTGAGGTTTTTATGTTAATTTAGAAACACCTGTAGCCATAACACTGTTAGCACCTCTGCTCTTCCTCATCCATAAATCCCCCCTTCCCTTTTAATAAAAAAGATTCAATCTTTCACCGTTGTTTGAGCAGTTTTTAAGGCATGCATTGATTTTTCATTTCATTGTTTTATGAAGTAAATTTAGAAAAATGTTTTGATTATTGTTTTAATGTTTATCAAAAATGAGTTGCCATGAACATGGGGTTATTTAAAGAAAAACAGCATAACTGCAACTTTAGATACAGTGTTTTAAACATTTTAATAATGTGAATGTGTGTGGATAACATAGGATAAGGGGGGAGTACAAGTTAAACAAAAATCTAAGCAAAGAAAAAGGGTGCAGGCAATGACAGAGAAGCTCTAGAGCCATGATGGAAGCTGGGATCAGAACGCTCCTCATGGATACTGGAATCAGCTCCTCTGGCACATCAACAGACAGCATGAGTACGGTTACTGACAAAGAGAAAGATGACAAGGTTAGAAAATACTAGTAAAATATATTCAGTATGGCCTGTCTTGGTTTAAAGCCCACCCACCACGACAAGGTGCAGGCCAGAGGGTTGTTCCATAAAACAAGATTAGAAAATAAGCCAGGCTTATTTTGGTTAGTCAAACTTATTGCCGGTGAATTCTGTTTCATAAAGCAAACTTAAAATAGTTCAAACTCAGTTACCCTGGAAACTTATGCTGGGAAACTAGCCTGGTCCGGGGCAGGCTAACTGTCAGGCTAAGTCTGAGTTTAGGCTTAACGAGCATACAATTTATACTCACCTGCTGGTATTTCGATGTCATTTTATTTTACTTAACCACTATTAATGCATCTTTTTTTAAAAAAATAAATAAGGAAATGTACTTTACTAATAAATGTAAGAAATTATATGGTATAAATGCATTTGAACAAATGAATAAATGTTCAAAACTTGTGTATTTAATTGGTGAGTTTGTTTAATGAGTTTGGTAATTAATGAAGTATATAAATAGGGAGCTGAACTCGTTTCCAAACTTAACCATGGCGGGTCCTTTCATAGATGAGGTGTTGGATGAGGGAGCTATAGTCTTGCGGAGGGCATTTCAAAGAGAGAGAACTTTCAGAGACAGGTCAGACCCATTGGCATTAAATGACCGCTAACTATATGAACGATAGGTCTCAAGAGATGGGATTGCATATATTTGTAGATTACCAAGCCCACACATATACAAATAATTATTTTGTTTAATATGGTCTAAACCATGACTGTGTAGCCTTTAAAATTTTCCACTGGCCCCTCAACTTTCTCCTTAGTTGAACAAACACACAGAAGTCAAAGTATTTAATGTGATTTGGCTTTATTCAGAGTGAATCTGCCTGTTAGGGGTGAAAACACAAATAAATGTTGTGAATGATCAAAAAGATAATGTTTTTTTTTCTTTTCCTTTAAAAAAAAGGTAGTTCTACTTGCATTTTTCTGTAGCTGTTGAATTTCCAGCTCCAACTGCCTCATCTTTAGTTTTTTATACTCGATGTCGATATCAGTTGCTTCCATTTATTTAAGGCAGTATCGTTTATACCCTCCTTTTATGTTTTCTGGGTTATGTAGCAACATTTAAGTTATTTCATTACTCTTGTCACATTGTTTTAATTTCTTAATACTCTAGAACAGAACTCTAGAACAGTGTCAGCATCCTGAAAACACATTATGATCATTTTATCACACAAGTACTTTTTAATATTCAATACAGTATAGCATGGATGGAACCTGTGAGTACCCCCTCCTTGAACATACAGACACAGTCTTCTCATCCTCCTCAACTGATCGGCCTTCTCAAACTCAGTTAAACTCATTAGCTTACATAACTGATTTAAAAGGTCTCATACTCACAGGCAACATGATGTCTGGTGGATCCATAAAGCATACAGAATCTTGATAGAACATTTTTTTTTTTTTTTTTACCAAAATGCACCATTACAATAGCACAAGTACCACATGACACTACTGCTATGATGTACTTAGGCCTACAATGTAAAACACACACACACACACCTTTTATATACTCACTCCTTATACTACATGATATCATTTTAGATGATGCCCCCCCCCCCCCCCCCCCCCTCAGTCTTCTTTTTGGTCGCTTCAATAAAGAAAATAATTAAAAAAAAATAAAATAAAATAAAAAAACCCTGAATAGTTGTAACTTCAAGCTGGCATTGATTACATATACCATAAGATTTACTTACCATTCAGACTATATTTTTATATTTTATTTTCACCTGCCAGGTTCTTTTTCCTTCACTTAAGTCGCTGCTGCGTGAAAGCAATTAACGTTAGCTTACTGTTATTCACACAAATTTTGCAATGTATTGTGACACACATTAAATGTTGAAGTATTTTAAACAGTTTACACCGCTACTTACGCATTGAGACGATCAGCAATTTCCTGCCAAACTTTCTCTCTTGCTTTCTTTATTGCCGCTGTATTGACTTTTTTTGGTGATGACATCTTTAAATTCTCCATTATATGTTTCCGTGAGCATCGCTGCTCTATCTTTTCCTTTTGTTGCCATGGTAGCCCACAGTAAATCGATTGACCCATGCTCGACTTTTCAGGACTTTAAGAGAATGGCGTGGACGCGCAATTATCTAGACTATTTAAACCTGACTCAAATTAGTAAGATCATATGATCCTCAACTTACTGTTATGGAACCAATTTAAGCGCGGATGTTTAACTCGGCTCATTCAAGTCAGGTTTTGGACTTTAATCCCCGCTTTTCTAAGCGGCTTTTATGAAACAGCCCCCAGGAGTGAGAACATATAACGGGACAAACTTACAAGACACAACAAAACCACAGGCACAACTTCAAGACATGAAAAAAAAATAGAGAACATGCGACCGATATAATGCTGGAAAAGCAATATACAATGGTGAAAACTGAGGGATAGGAACAATTATGAACATTTTGCCCAGCCCTTAATGAAAACAGCAATTAGATTTAAAGATATTTTTATAACATAACTTAAAATACTATATTCATGTATTACCATAACACTTCAATAACTCAATATATGCAATATAAAATCAAAACCAACCATGGATGTTTACTTTTTTAAGCTAGCAACTTAACATGAGAGAATATTTTTATATGTATATATATATAATATATATATACATGCATACCAGTGGAGATTTCTTTAAGACTGCAAGGGAAGCTCAGCTTCCCCTATAATGTCAAACAAATAATGATCAAATGTGTACTATTATGTTAACATTTTAATGAGTAAAAATGCGTTAGAACACGGTAATCTCGAAGACGAGTTCGTTCAGAATAAGCAACAAATAGCAGGTCGGCTGACTTGATCTCCTTCTCATGCAGCGCCTCCTGTAGCGCGTCACAGTGCATGCGTTTTCCTATGGCATTTCCCCGTTGAAGCTCGGCGTCCATTGACTTCAATGGGGCTGCTTTGAACAGTTTTTTTCAGTGCTGTTAAACTAGACGGTCATTGGATAAATGCTGCGATTATGTCCCGCCCACGGACGCCGGGCGTCTCTAGGGTTAATAGGGAAGTGGGCTGGCCTGGCGTCCGGGCGTCCGCGTGATGATTGGAGGATTGCATCTCTTTTTGATTGACAGTGATTTCACCCAATAAAAAAATCGCTGACGCGGAAGCTAGTTTAAAGACTTCGTGCTCAGTCTCGTCGCGAATTTTGTGTGTATTTTACTCGAAAGACGAACTACTGTAACATATTTCTTAGTATTTGCAATTTTCATCAGATATTTCACAGTTCAACCTAATTCCCACATTTCTTCCGTCGATGTCAGGTGTCTTGTTACATGTGCGTGTGTGGTGTTTGAATCACGGCACATGCATTCTCCTCGTGTTTGTTTTCGGTTGTGAGTGCACAGGATGACCTTATGGTCGTACTCATGCGTAACGTTAGCGTTCTGTCTTGTCGTGTTCGCTCTGTTCAGTGTGTTGTGTATTGTGTGGCACATGGTTTATGTTTACATCGGCCGCGTGCTTTCATGTCATGTTTTGTCTTGTGCTGTGTAGCACACAGCTTGTGTTTTAAACTAGCTGTGTGCTGTCATGTTGTCATGTTCTGTGTGAACACGTGTCTTATGAGTGTTCTCATCGTTCTTCAGGTCTCATTTTGTGTGAGCACAATTGCTTTTTAATTTGTTTTATTGGTCATGTGTTTTTGTCATGTTTGGTATGAGCACATGGCTTGTGCTTGTCATGTGTTTATTGTGCCATATGTGCTTTCCGGTCATTGTGACTCCCATCTTGTTTCCTGATTATTAGTTATTTTGCCCCACCTGTCCTCCCTCGTTACCTGCCTTTTTTGCTCCCAATTTATTCCCCTTGTTTGTTTTTTGTTTGTTTTTATCAATAAAATAAAGCCCATCAACTTTGCATCGAGTCCTCGCTCTTTTCACCATCCCCACACCTGACAGTCGAGTTAAAAAAAAAAGAAGAAGAAAAAAGAGCTTCCCCTCTTTGAAAGACCAGCAGCCGCCACTGATGCATACACACACACACATTTTGTTAAGATTTTTTTGTAAATATGTCATGAACTGATCCTTGAATTTGACACAGAAATCCAGAAACTATACACATAAACATTGACCAGGGAGGTTGCATATGTATTTCACATAACAGATGGCAAACTTATCAATATCATCTTAGGCCCCGTTCATGCGAACTCTAAGAGATATTGAACAGTCTGTAATGTGACATGGGAAAGCCCATAGAAACTATAAGTTTAATCAGTGATGTCTGTGTAAGTTAAGGAAGGCACTATGTGTAAAGGCTCTATGTACAACTTACAACTACGTCAATATTGCATGTTACTGTAGCATCGCAGCATGTGATTGGTAAGAGTTGGGCCCCGTTCATGCAGACTCCAACCGAAAATCATCCTGGGAAGCGAGGGGGTTTTCTTTTATAGAAGCGCTTCATCAGTATAAGATAGGATAAGATAAGATGTTCCTTTATTCAAGTACAGGCACAGCAGCTTAGAGGAA